TCTGTTCTGAACTACTCACTACAGCAGGATTAGACCTGAGAAACTCTAGAGTTTTGTTTTACTTTATTAACTTGGAGTACTTTCAAACAGTTTTTAAACAAAATTTTCCCTTGACCAGCAAGGGAATTTTCAGCCTGAAGTTCTCAGCAGCATCCGGTGAGGCTCCTAGCCAAGTTCTTCAGATACTGTACATCCTCAAGGACAGCCTGCTGGCTCTTGCTGGGGCATTTTCTTAATCCTTAGAGCAGACTTCCTGGATCTAGGAAATTTAATTCCTGACTCCTTCGACCCAGATGCTGGCGAAAACGTAGTCTGCAGGCTGTGTGTAACTGGGTGTGTTCATTTTTTAATTTTCCCTAGGAACTGGCCTTGCTGTTAAATTTTTCTAAAACAGTCATATTAATATGTTCAAAAACCCACTGTTGAGTTTCAGATAAAGGATCACATCTGTTCATGAAAATCTTCTTTTCAGATGGGTTGCAATCTATGCAGCTGCTGCTTACCGGATGGAACAAAGTTTTGTCCTACAGAAATGAGAAAAAAACAGAATTAAGTAGCAAACGCCAAGTAATTGGAAGCGTTCTCATTTTACTGAACATGGATTAACACAGTCGTATCTGAAATAATTTTGTATGCTCAGTGTGATAACCTTGTGCAACAACTACAGCTTAATTTAGAAACTTGTAGAGAATCCAGCACCTTCGTTCCTTCTGTTATTGTCCTTCAAAAAATCGAGGATTCAGGAAAGAATGAGACGACATCACCTTCTCTTTAGCTAATAACCATGTAATATAATGAAAAAAGAGAATGCCTTTCTTTACATACCGTGTGCTTCCCTAGCCTCCAATTAAATGTCTGAACCCAATTTTTTTTTTGAGAGGGGAGGTTGTTTTTCACAGTTTCTACTGTGCTGCTGGGTGAGAGGATCTGTAAAGATTTGTCTGAGAAATGGCTATTCTTTGACTCGATGAAGAAGTAAGTAACAATATTAATTGAAGTGCTGTGCTGGACAGACACATAACTGATGATCTCAGTTCTCACCCCATAAAACGCAGATTTTGCCTGCAGCTTTGTAAGACAAGCCACTGAAATACTCGAGTTCTACTCCTAAGAAGGAAATTCTAATGCTGTTTTTAGATCTCTATGGAGATCTTGGGAGGATAAACGCGGATTAAGTTGTTTTAAATAGGATATTCATGGTTTTTAGTTTTATTCATTTTATTTCACACACACACCAAAAAAAAATAAAAATGGAATGAATTTTACATCATCCCACTGTGAATCTTTGGTAAAGCAGAAAGTACCAAGATGAGCAACAGGCATTTGTGGGTAGGCTAGTTTCAGTGTGTAGGCAAGTGGCCAAGAGATAGACATGGGAGTGATTAGATGGCTTGAAAGTTTCCAGTGGCTATATAATGCATTTACTGTATCTGTGGAAATAAACTTCTGATGACTCTCAGTAAACAACATCCAGGCCCTTCCCCTCCTTGCCAAACAAGCTCTGCCAGCTAATTCAGGATGTGCCTGTTTGCCCAGTTTGTAAGAAGGAATAAAAAAAGCTACTTGTCAAATCGCAACCTATTATAAACTCGCCAAAGTGCTCTGGGTGCTGAGCAACAATCATACAGAAACATCTTTAACAAAAATACCCCACCCTTCAGAAATAAAGTTATGAAGACAAAACTAAATATAACGTAATAATAGAAGTTATTTTGAAGCGAGGAAAGTTGTTTTTTTTTTTTTTTAATTAAGAAAGAGAAAATTGATTGTGGGATGTGTGAAACACTGGTAAAGCACTACTTTTATTTTTTATTTTTTAATATTTAGTATATGCCACAGAGAGCAAATTCAAAAGTGTAGCGCTGTGCTCTACTGAAGGGTGATGGTGTTCTACCTGCCTTTCAAAAAAACTGGCTTTCACCCCAACTCTTCACCCTAAATGCACGCACCCACAAGAGAGTAATTCTGAGTGATGTGTTCAAAGCCTGCTAAAGGAATCAGCTTTGTACGGATAGGGAGACCAGAGGCCCTGCTCTGCTCTGTACAGGGAGCAGCTTGTGAACACCGGCAACATGCATGTGGGGCTGTCACATTCTATATAGCAGGAGACCCTACCAGAGCTCCCAAGAACCCATGGGATGTACCATGGCTGCCCACCTGCTGTGGGGCCCTGTGGAAAGGGGACAGCTGGTTTTTCTCATGTTGTAGCTTGGGAAGGGCTCAGCCAAGCTACTGCAGAGCTAAAGCTGGAATGCTAGAAGCTTTAACACAGTAGCTGGTACAAGAAGAGAGGAAGCTGCTTGCTCCCAGTACAAAATGCATGCTATGAGAACACACCAGCCTTCACAAAAGAGCCCACGGTCTGTCTTCTCACAGAAAAATCCAGGGGATGCAGTACTTGAATGAAGCATTGTTGGTGCTTCTCTCAGCTGGTCTGGTTATTAGGAGAGAAGAGCATTTCTTAAGGAGAGGGACACAGTTACTGTGGGAAAACTTCTGGCTGCCTTAGCTATGTATAATGGCCTATTAATTTATCATCTCCAGCTTACACTGACCTAAGGTCAAAGCCTGCAGTTCTTATGGAACTCAATAAAAACAGGCTGAGGACTTCAATGGGTGACAGTTGCATGCACCCCAGAGAAGAACTTTCTGAGGGAAATATATAAATTCCTCCTTACACCAAGCCACAAGGACCCTTCTGGAGACTTTTCAAGCATCTGAAAAGAGCAGAGTGATTCTTTTTTTCTTCTGCATAAAGGCAAGTCTGAATACTATTTGCAGAAGGAGAAACTTCTCCATAAGATAATGGTTCTCGACAGTTCAGGGGATTGGTAATGAGACACAGAGCCTTTCATTTCTTCTAGGTCACTGCCATATCTATGGCCAAGGTCAACAGCAACTGGAAGTCATTATCAACCAGTGGCTGCAGTAGTTTATCTGAAATTAGTCGGTAGCCACAGTGCAGTTTCAGTAGGACAGATGTCCATATGACAAAAACCACTATCACAATGACATGTCTTTCATTGTCTGAGGGGATAATCTATGGACTCAGAAGGTAAAGAGTGAATTTTTACAGTTTGTCCCTGAAGCTGTCAGGAGAGTGTGAACAAACGACCCTATTCAGGGCACAGGTTTAGACGTTGCCAGTCTAGCTTCTATCATAGTCACTATGCTTAGAGTAGAATTATAGTATAATGAAATTGATTTTGCACAATTATAACCATTATTTTTTAAAGACCTACTAAATCAGCCCTCTCTTGAATACATGTGCTCAACAGATGAGACTAGGGCACATAAATTTAATCGTACTTTATCAGAACCAATGTATTACCTACCACTCCAGAGTGACACTATGCTGAAAAATAGGGGCATATTGCTTCACTGGGAGGAATGGAAATCTGTATCCACTGTTGATCTTTGGCTCTGACATGCTTAGAAATCATAAACACAGTCAAGGAAATGGCTTTCTCTTGGAAAGCTGTTATTCTCCAATATCTCTACTACTTTTAGCATTTTCCCATTGCTCTCAGAATTGATTTCAAAGCCCCATTATGGCATCAACGCTTTTTTCCCCTATTATTAAACTCATTTCCTTTTTCTAACCCACAGTGTTGTTCACAATATTATTTGGATTCAGTCTACTTTATCATTTTTACAGAGATTTCTTAAATGCAGACTTGGCTGTTTTATTACAGATGCCAAGTTTGAACTGGTCCTAAAAGTACTGATTACTCACTATCATAGACATACTAGAATTTTAAACACTTACTCAGAGCTTGAGGATACAAATAATCTTGAAAAGAGAAATTAGCATAACCTATTAAAAAAACCTATTATCTTCTAGTTTTATATGACATTATATGAGAGTGTGATATGACAGTACAGTAAGAAATGCTTTCTGTTCAGCATCTTATAAGACACTGACCAAACTCATTTTTCCTACAACACTGATAAGATGGACACATGACCATTAGAAAGCTACAGCTTCTGTAAATGGTGCAAAGAACACAGCTGCTGATCTGCTCTTTGTTTCCTAAAAGCAAGCATTTCTTGCTGAACCACAATCTGTGACTGGTTTACTCAGAGTGCAATTTTAGTTGCATACCGTCCTCTTAGTAAAGAGCTCTGCTGTAGCTGCAATTAAACTGATAGAAGCATCTTTTTGCTGTATGGTTTTCTTGTCTTTGGGAAACAGTATAAATCCTATTTCCAGGATGCTCTTAAAACTAAGTAAGGATTATAACAGGCTTTTTTTTTGGTACAGCTGTTCCACCACAAATTTCTACAGCAAATCTAACTCAATGAAACAAAACGTACTTAGTGGGCAGCCAAATTAAAACTAAGCCTAAGCAGTAATAATAATAATGAGCATATTTTCACTGTTCCAACACTTGTTTTTTTCAATTTGAAGTTTCATAGTTCAGCAGTAAGTGCTCATGCAAACTGATCAGCTTGCTGTCAGGTTACTATTACAGCTAGAACTGTGACAGTACTTTCATCATCACAAAATGTTGTGGTGCCTTTTGTAGAGATGAAAATGCCTGCCTTGTGTTGAGAATTTTTATATGAGCCCTGCCAACCTTCTGGAAATAAAAAATGAAGCTGTGCAGAGGATTTAATAGAACTCACGTTGTGCATTTTTTTTTTCCTTCAAATGTCATTTCTTTGGGTTATCTGCTGCATTCTGTCCACATCAAAGGTGATGAGCCATATAGAGGGCAGCTCCAGATCTGCGTTTTCCTTATGAACCAGCTACATTAGGCACCAATGAAGTGCTAGGGGTATGAAAGCTTCTTTCGTGTGGCTTGGGCGATCAAAAAGATAAATTGGAAGTGTTCTGAAGCAAGAAGGGATTATAATGACATTATAAAGCCATATATGCAGCAACACAGCCACGACTATTTATGTCCTCTAAAGAGCCAGCTCACACTTTTTAACCTCACTACGAGTAGAATCTGAAGGAGAACATATTTCGAGAAAATTCTGTGATACATCTTGGATTGCAACATAAATATGGTTAAAAAATGGCACAGGCTAACAAGCAGGTACTCAAAATACTTGGGGAAAAGCTACTTTTAATAGTTCTGAACTATTTTCCTGCTTATAACTCTAATCTAGAAAGTACTATAGAGGCTTACTTAACATGGTCCAATTCCTGCCACCTAGGTCACAGCATAAGCAATGTAGGGGACAAGGCACAGTGGTTTTAGAAAATCAAAGGATGCATAAGAAGAAGTACTCAATTCATCACAGAAATGGATGTCCTTACCCTGCATGGAATAGTTTATTAGCAATTGTTTAATCAAGGCAACTTTCTGATTAATCATTCTTTAAAAAACCTGGTAGCATTACCAGGACTTTTTATATCCCAAATGAGGCACTCTCATTTCCTAGCTTGACCTCCTGTTCTAGTGATTGCTCAAAATGGGCAGAACTTGGCAGATCAAAGTAGTGTCTGAGCTGCTTATCTTTAATTTATAAACTCCCAATGTCTTCAGGCTTACAGCAAGTGCTTTTAATGTTGGTTTGGGGTTTTTTTGAGGTAGACATTCCTGCCACTTGTAAAAATGTAGTAAAATAGTAATATTTAACTCTTGAGCAGCATTTCTTCTTTCTGTCATGTCAGATGCAAATATTTTCAATAGTGCCTCACTTAAAATGACACCAGAATCTTCAAATGCCAGAATGATATAACACCTTTCAGACACTCAACATGGACACACTGAGCTGGATCAGATCCACTTCCATTTAAATTTGACACAAGTAGCTGAATACTCAATGAGAACACACTCCAGAGAATTTACTACAAAATTAAATTGGAATAAAACAGACTGGATTTTAAAAAGCAACTTCTCTGAAGGGAAAATACAAGTCTGCACTAGACTGAGTATAGGCTCAAGACAGTCTGAATCTCTGAAATGACCCAGAGTGACTCCGACCTTCCTATAGCTCCAGTGCTGGTTCCCCTTCATCCCATGACAGTCATACAGTGTGACAGGGCTACTGTGTGAGATGGCATCGAAGCAGAACTTCCTGGTGTGAAGTGGCTCCCCAGGACGGATGTCTTCTCTCCATCCGAAGGTGAACAGCTAGAAAAACAGTCAGACAACGCAGTAGTTCATTACTAGTGGAAAACATTTCAAAAACAACATACACTAAATGATTTGTCTTCTTGCTGAGAAACCTGTGAGCTACAGGCAGCCTGTTAAAGCCGTTTTTCTGGCTGCCTGAGAGGAATTGTGGAGGCTCACAGTTAACAGAGGAATCCTTCTCAATCATGCACCAGCTGTCTGAAATTATGCTGTGACACTGCAGTTGTTCAATCATAAGAGAAAGGCGACAGGTCTGAAAATACCAAATTTAAAGATACAGAATGCATTTTCCTTTCTATGGGCCAATCCTTGTAGAAAACAGGTTGCAGCTTGTACATTGCTGCCTACAAGCTCTGCTGAGAGCTGTGATGCTTTTTTTTTTTCCTTTATATTTAATTTAATTCCTCTTTTTTTTTTTTTTTTTTTTTTTTTCCCCATGTCAATGCTATTCCATGGCTTTCTGCTTGACTCTCTCAGTATAGACTGAAGCATAACACTGAGAAAGCTCTCTTTAAATGATCAAACTTTGCTACTGGAAATCATTTAGCTGTAACATTTCATGCAGAACTGCACGCAGGCTCATTATCTGAATAGCACTTCTACTCTATGCTGTTGTTAGCCTGCCTCCAGCACCTCAGCCACTGCACCCCAGGCAGCTCTGTTTCTCACCTGGCACCCTGCTCGACTGTGTCCATTTGCTGATATCGGAACCACTGTCTACAAATGCAAACTAAAGCTGAGTGTGATGGGAGTCTGATTTGGTATACTCCTGCTGTGCTTCTTAGATTCCGAACCTTTCACTGTGACAGCTATCTTCTCCCTGTGGTCTACCTACAAGAGGCATCTTTCAAAAATGCTACATCTTCAGCACTGTACCACACTCCATAATACCGCTATTGAGAGGCACTATTGCTTCCCATGGCCTGCAGGCACAGAATATAAGTATATATCTGAATATTTGCTGTTTTTCTCATGTCTCATTGTAAGCCCTTGTTCTGTCTGTGAGCATCTGTCATTCCCTATTTATTTCTGGTTTTCCAGTCAGCATTTTCTCAGTCTTCCCCCGTGCCCTGCTTATTTCTTCTTTTCCCCAGAGTGCCTTTTACATTTATCTGCTGTAAAATGCAATGGACAACTTTAACTACATTTTCAAACCAAATAGTTGCTTTTTAAAAGGTTAAGTCTTTCTCCATTTATCTTTATGTTTCCTGGAAGCAGCATCACACACTCCCTGCAAAACAGCTTATTTTACAACCAAACTCAGAGGTAAGATTTGATATATGAAAAAGCTACAATGTCGCTTCTGCAAAAACAGAGAAGTTTGAGATGGTTTGCCTCTGAAGGAAAAAAAAGCAAAAGCAATTTCCTTTCTTTTGCTTTACTTTTCTGCAGCCAAGTAATAAACTTGGAGCTCAAAGTGATGAATAACGTACCTGGAGAAATGGTGTGGAACAGTGATTTTGCAATATTCTCAATCTCATGACTACTTTGCAAGATATCCTTTTGCAACACCTTTATCATCTTCCTCAGCAACTAACTCTCCAAATTTTTCATTCTGTGCATTACTGGTGAGCTGAGGGGCCATTTCTGTTGCTGCCTGGACCTTGTCCTGAGGACCACTGCCACACTGAATGCATCAGTATACCTGAAAGAGCTAAAGCTTGCTTTTAAATCAGATCAGACTGATCCAGGGTATCCTTTTGCCTTTCCCACTCCTGTGTGGTTTCCATTTGAAACCACTGTGTTCCATTTGAAAGTCAAGACTCTTGACTTGATACCAGATAGGGTGCTTTTTTTTTTTAAGTTTCCTTCCACTGAAAATCACAATCTGTGTAATAGTAGATCTCACTGATTAGATGGCACAGATTCCTCCCCCTCCTTCTTAGGCTGCTGTTTTGTAAAACAGTTGCATTTAAAAATCAAGTATGTTCTTCGTAGTGATACAGTTACAAAATAAGTCTTGTAGGGGCAGAAACCAGTTTTTAGGACTAAGAGTGGAATTAAAAATAACTAATTGGAAAAAAAATCATACTTTTCTATACATCCAACTGATACTAAGATGTACAGATAATACTAAAACTTGCAGGTAAGATTTGAAGGTTGACATCCTTCCAACCTCCCCACTCTATGATATCCTCCATAACATGGCAAGTTCTGTCTACTTCAACACTAAACCTGGCCGATGTAAAAATGATCTTTCCTCTATATAATGCATAGCAATGCTACATGTTAGTAGCTGTGGTCCTGACCCCAAAAGGCTCTGCTTTGCCAGTATTTAATGCTTTGTATATTCCTTTGGATGTTAGGAACCAGCAGAGCCTGACTTCATGAGAAATGGATGAACCCAAATAAAGTAGTACATTTCATTTGCTCTCATTCATTCCCAGATATGAAACAAAGCTGCACAGAGATTTCCAAATACATTAGAATCAGGCAGCTGGCTTTCTCTTCACTTGAGGTCTCCAGGGCTGTTGTTTCCTACTGAGTCCAAGACATTTTCTGTCCTTCTGGCTTCTTCCTTCCTTTCTCTTATTCTCCTACCAGACCCCCATCCTCTGAGTTTGCAACCAAGTAACCCTTTGGCCTGCATGTTTCAGCTTTTGATGAGGCATGGCCCTCTCATAGGACTACTTGGAAAAAGACAGCTTTTCAGCTGCCTTATCTTTTAAGAACAACTTAATTTCTAACTGGCACTAGGCCTGAAAAATGAATGCCAGATGCAGCCACTGGTTTGGGACTGTTTGCAGGACAAAGGCCCTTTTGAGACCATTAGTGCTCTCCAGCTTGACAACTTTATTCATTTACTCACTGCCTGTCTGGATCCCACTGTCAGTGGGCACTGTGCTCAGGCCACAGCACAAGATTGAAGCAGACATGTGTCCAACACAAAGCCAGCGTCATATTTGTGAGCTAGACTTTGACTTGAGTTACATCTCTGAGCAGAAAAGAAAGAGCTGGGCAGGATGCACAGTTACAGTCTGGGCTGAGCTGGAGATGATGCCTGCCCACTTAATCCCTGGCCAGACTGGAGGACTTCAGAAGACGAAGAAGATTTTTACCATCACATCCTTGGCTGCTGTTTGATCTGCTTCATTTGCACCTGTTTCTGAGAAACAGAAATTAGCTCTGGCAAGAGAGGTGGAAGAAAGCCAAGATGCACCTCACTCGTGCCTTTTTTTTTTGTTCTGAAGAAGTTCCCAGAGAGTTCATCTTTTTTTCCACCAGAAAATCTGCAAGTGGCCCATTGTCCTACTGTTAGTTTTTACAGCCCTGAGGTAGAAAGTCTTCTTCTCAGGGGCTGCTAAGAGGCTGGCAAGATTACACAAATCAAGTAGCACAGTGGGTCATCTCTGTCTAGTGGTATCATCAACACTAGCACCTACTGCTTTCCTCATATCACATTTTTCTGAAGAATTCTCTGTTAATTTAGACCAGAATTTACAAGATCTGCTCAATGTCAGGCCACACTACTTGGAATATGATAATAAAATGCTCAATATTTTCATTAACTCTTTGGTGTCTACCAGCATGTGGAGAAATCATATTAGTAACATGGCTGGAGTAGTGGAAAAGCAAGCGTTCACACCACTGCACACCATTACTCCATGGAGGAAAACATTGGAAGAGGCAAAGGGAAAGGATGTTACTTCATTTCTGGAAAAAATCCAAGCCCTGCATCACTAAAATGTTTTGCTCTACTGAAGTTAAGAATTTCTTTTCTACTGGAAAACTGAATTTTTTCCTCTGGATGATTTGCCCATGCTGTAATTCCTTTTGGGACAGAAACTCTGAGTTCCATCCAAGTCTGCTATCTAGTTTGCTTCATCTTGAAGTTTGAGATTCTGCTTTAAAATCTGCACCTTGTACAGACTGATCCTTGAAACCTATCAGCCAGATGACTGTGTTCTGTACTTGGAGTATGAACACTTGAGTAAAATTTGCTTTGTATTGTTTCTAAACTAACCCATAAGCCAATGAATTATAATGAAATGATAGAACCTTCAAGATTATGAACATAAAATGTTACCCTGTGATACAGTAACAGACATTAGTCCAATCATCATTTTTCTACATCTTCTACTTTCTAGCTCTAGCAAATAAGGTCCCCTTCTAGGAGAAAGTGAAATCATGTTACTCTAAATTTGTTCAAAAGATTCTTCAGAGTTTCTTGTGCAAGTTCTAAGCTTTACACTGACAGGAAAATAGGCTAAGGGCAGCCGTGCTCTGCTCAATTGTAAGAGCAGCTTTTGAATGTGCTGCAGTGTCTGGGAGAAAGAAAACCCTCACAACCTGCAGCACACCACAAACACAACGGAATCAAAACAACCTCCGTTTTGCCAACAGAAAACAGACTATTTTGAGGGTTAAACAGTATCTATCTATACTCCAAAGCAACAGTAAGATGATTTTTTTTTAAAGCGATTCTTTTTCGCCCTCGGTCCGATCCCGTTTCAAGCCTTGAGAAGCTCTCAGAGCCGCCCACTCTTCACCTTCCCCGGCCCGGTTGTGCTCAGCTTGTCCAGAGCTGCCCTCTGCCGCCTCTTTTCCGAATTACACTCTTAACACAGCAGCGCTTGGACAAGTGTGCGACAATTACTGAGCTGCTCAGCAAAAACGAATTCAGTGACCTAGCTTGGGTTTTGGTAGTCCCAATCCCACACAGCCGCACCACAGTGCTCAGAGGAACGTCCCCTCGCTGTGCTCTGAACACTCCTCGTCCCCAAGGCTCCCCCCTAGCCCCATGGAAACAACTGCTTTCATAAACAAAGCTTAATTCCACGTATCTATCTCAGCATCCTATCGCCGTGCTTTATCTCTGTTAGCTACATGAAGAAGTCTTCTTTCAGCAGCTTCCTTCCCCTTGTGTTGGCACTTATCTAAATTGTGATCATTTTTAGCTCTTCAGTTTCGTTCACTTTCACACCTTCCCCTGCATTTCTGACTGTCCTTAGAGGAGGAATTTTTGACCTCAGCACTTCATGTATTCCTCAGAACTCCTCCTTCCCAAGCTTTTAATATCTTCAAAAATGCCATACTTGACAGTCAATTTTTTCTCCTTATCCTTGTGGGTTTTTCTCTAATCTGAGTCCGCTGCTGTGCAGAAGGCATGTTCATTAAAATTGTTACTAAATGGCCAGGTTGTACTTTCCATCCTGATTCTCAGGAACGTTGGCCAGAGCTAATTAGTCACAGTCTCTTTCCTATGCTACTCACAATCACAGCAAGTACAAATGAGAGCTCTTTTCCCCCCACTCTCCTGAGAAGTTATGTTTTTCTTCCTAACCAACCTAGATTAAAGCATTTTTGAGCCTTTATCATCCCTCATGTTTGTGAAACCCATTCTGGCTTTCACACTATTTATCTTGCTTATAGATCATATTAAAATACAACCACTTACTGTGTTTGCAGAGATGAAAGCAAAAAAGGAAACAATCAATAGATGCCCAGGTAGTATTTAAAATATTTTCAGTGAAGTGAACTGAACTCAATATGTTGTCATGACATACTGAGATAGAACTGGGGACCCAAAAGCTCTTTGAGAACTAGATTTCCTTTTAGAACTTTAAAAGGATATGGCAAAGTTCTGAGGTTAGTTTAAAAAGAATACTTTTAAGAAGCTGTTAAGGTCAGCAATCATTCAAAAATAATTTCTACATTTAGCTTTACCTTAAGTAAAGGAAGAAACTTCACATAAATGTTCAGAAGCTGGAAAAAAGAACCACTATTTTGCACTGCTTTTTTCTTTTAGCTGTTACAATACCTGTTCATGTGACCACGTCCGTTCTGAGCCATCCTTCACACAAATGTCTAGCCTCAGTTCAGTCCCTGTGGCTCCATGTTTGCTGTCCACACAGAGATTGGCTGCCACATTTCGAATCTGTAAGGTCAAGCATCAACATTTCACACCAAACCAGGCTGCAGAGCAGAGCCATCAAGATTATGGGGTTATGAATTTAGCCGTAGAAACTGAGGGGCTTGAGATCCAGTTGCACAGAACTGGTTTCTACAGGGTATAACACCAGGTCTTGGAGTGATCTCTTCTTTTGAACAGCTTCAGAAGCAGCAGAGTTAGAAATACTCTGCTTAACAAATGAAAGGTAGGCCTGTATGAAATAGCCTCATGCAAAGAAACTAAGAGAAAAAAGGTGTGAAAGGTTCAAAGCTGAGTCTGGTGGTTTTTTTCACCTCCTACTGAACCAAGTGAGATAAAGGACACAATTTCCAAATGAGACTCTCACAGGCTTCAAAGCAATACTGCTCTGAACACTCTGTCCCAGTGCTTGTTCTTCCTCTAACAGTAATGTCAATGTAGGTAAAGTCAGACAGCACTTTTCAAAATGCATAAAATTAGAGAGTACTTATGATGCCCACCCACAGAGGTTCCTCATGCTGTCTGTATGCTTCTGCAAACAAACTGCAGTGGGACTTATTCTTAAAAGGAGGCTGAAGCAACTGAGTAATAACCTGTGACTATCAGTCACACCATTTATGCACCACTGCTCCTAAGGAGGTATTTCTAGAGGACTGGATTGAAAATGCATAGGCTGCCTTCTACTACTAAAGAGAGAAAAATGCCGTATTTATTTTGAAATATCACGTACGTTTCCCCTTGAACACCTTGGCTGGGCTGCTTAAAAATGCTTCAGACACTGCCAAAGCAAAGAGGATTTCTTAAACTTTCCATTTCAACGAGATGCACAGACAGTAAGTAACCAAAGCCTATGCACATTCGTTATTCATTTGGCTGCACTTCAAGTGCCGTGTTCAGTTTTGGGCCTCTCATTACAAGAAAGACAACACGGCCCTGGAGCACATCCAGAGAAGGGCAACAAAACTGTGAGGGGTCAGGAGCACAAGTCTTACTGGGAACAGCCGAAGGAGCTGGGATTGTTTAGTCTGGAGAAGAGAACGCTCGGGGAGACCTTATTGCTCCTACAAATCCTTCAAAGGAGGTTGTGGCAAGGTGGGGTCAACTTCTGCTCCCACATAACTAGTGATGGGACAAGAGGGAATGGCCTCCAGTTGTGCTAGGGGATGTTCAGGTTGGATATTCAGAAAAATTTCTTCTCTGAAAGAGTGGTAGGCATTGGATTGGGCTGCCCAGGGATGTGGTGAGGTCATCGACCCTGGAGGTATTAAAAGAAAGTTTAGATGTGATACTAAGGAACATGGTTTAGTGGGAAATACTGGTGGTAGGTGGATGGCTGGACTAGATTATCTTGGAGGTCTTCTCCAATCTTAACGATTCTATGATTCATGAAGCTGTATACAGATTCTGGATGTGCAATAGACAGAAGGGAGGTGCACATTTTTGACATTCCTGCAACTACTTAGATCCTTATTTAAAAAAAAGAAAAGCTAGATGCTGAACAGAGCTGAGGAGAGATTTGCAATTTTCAATGGAAATATTTTTTTTTTAAACCAGTCATCATTGCCATATTGTATTAGACAAACATAAATATTGCTACTCTTAAATATGGCTTACCTCACAGAAAAGATAAACAAAACCAAAACAGGATGGAAGACATCTCATCACAGAAAAGAACAGAGTACAACAGGGGTAAGCCTTGTGCTTGTAGTACACATAGGAGAACTGCTTTGCTCTTTTTTATTATTATTTTGGAGAACTGGAATTTAGTCTATTCATCATGTTCAGAGAAAGATTTAGACAGATGGGAAAACAACAGGAACTGGAGGGAAAAAACAACCACCACCACATTACCTCCAGGAAAAGCTTTAGGAACTGCATTTGCTTAGCCTAGAAAGGAGCAGATTGAGCAAGCAATGTGAGCAGCAGTTTGAGCTTAAGAATTCTGAGCCTTCACCAGTGCTCACAGGCATGTTCTTTCAAAACACTGACAAGCATAGTTCTAGGGCATTCTTTCTTATTTCAGTGCAATAAAATTGCTGCTAACCTGCCAGTACATACAGACAGATGCAGAAACCCAGCACTGAGCCCCACAGTAGAGTCACGTTAACTGAAAAAAGGATGAAAGGTAATAAGTCCTCAGTAACTCTCCCTTCATTTTCATATCATCCATCAGAAGATGGAGATAAGAACAATGGGTAGAAAAGACCTATTTTTTTTAATCTATTTTTTCTTACGTGAAAAAATTTCTCCAAGGATTATTTGGACTCAGATCTCTAAAATGAAAGAAAATACACTCCACATCTAATGAGTGCTCATTGGATTAAAAGGCTGACATAATTTTGCCTAGATGACATTTCTCCATCCTGCTCTCATTCATTTTGATGTTGTGGTAAATGTATTCTAAGCATTTCTGGAAGGCTTTGAGCCAAAGCTACATTTAGGATATTCACTACTGGAATCCACTGCTTTTTTATTTCCTCTGTTCTTCCCTCTGCTCCTGAAAGGTTTTCTCAAGTTAGTTTTTGTTCTGGTTTGTTGCAGCCCACATGTTAATTCATCTTTTTGTTTTGTTTTATCCACCTTTTCAGCTGCAGAGGGGCAGTGGCTTGTTTCTCATTTTCTTTTTGTATTACAGGCATTTCAGTAAAGTCTGTGCTTTTGTTCTCTGGCATTCCTGTGCGGCGTTGGCAGAAACTAGAAACTGAATTGTGCCATCAAACTGCTGCCAGAACCATGGGGAATGTTCTGCTGAACACCAGCACTACGTTACCTACAAATCCCCTAAGATCCCTTCACAGAACAAGGAAGGAGAGCAGGATTGCAGCAAAGAGATGCTGTATTTTCACGTTTACATCAGTACGCATTTGAACTGCTTTGTCTCCAGTCACACCGCACAACGGATGTCAAATGTTTATGTTACAACTAGAAACATAGCTAGCACTCCTAATAGACTCCCATTTCCAACATTTGTAGCTGGGCAATTGTGGAGACATTTCATCTCTCATGTAGTTCTTAAAATATTATCCGAACACAGACACTGGGATGATGCTACTAAGAAAAGATTGTAGCCCTATCTTCTTATGGAGAGCAATTCATGTGTTCAAGCAGATTCTAAAGGGCTCGTAGTCTCTCTATTCTACAGGGAAGGGGTAAGGCCAAAGGTATAGAGAGTCTTTCAGTGCTGCACCTATGTTTGGGAAATAAAGACTTACCAAGTGAGAGACATTTCTGCTGTTGTAACATCCAATTTCTGCTTTTTAAATGAGGTAACAAGCCATTAGGAGAAAGGGCTGCTTAAGTGTAGATACAGTCCTTGGGGTTTATGAAAGAGAGTTAGACATTAAAACTACAGCTTCTTTTCTCAACATTAAAAAAAAAAAAGATGTTCATGAAGAGTAGTAAAAGCCTGGAAAAAGCTCAACTACACTATAAAAGTAGAAAGGAGAATACATTAAACAGGAGCTGGGGCACTATAGGACAAAAGCTCTTTGAACCTAGGCTTTATGTTTGAAGAAGATATTTAAAGTTGTTGATGAATATTTCTACATTAACTTTTAGGGAAAAGAACAAAGGACTTACATACAAAAATATTTTTGGCAGATGTTGTCAGTATGGCCATCCACACTTGATTATTAGTTCCTGTTAAAGTATTTCATTTTAAACTCAGGGTTTGCTTGCTTTCTTAAAGTATTGGTGTTTTTCAGAGACGCACAGAGAAACTTCTCTATATTTACACACAGCAGAATATACTGTCTCCTAGATAACGTGACTGAGACAGAATTGTTTTTTTCAGAGTGCCTGGTATGACACTATGCTTTTGTTCTAGGAGAAAAAAAATGTTGATAGCACACCATGTTTATACTTATTGCTAAGCAGTGTTGTTCAGAAAAAAAGGCTGTTCCAGTTTCTCAACCTGTATTAATGAAGGGCTGGGAGGAGTATCAGGAAAAGCAACAGCAAACAACCAGTTCTAAATAACCCAAAAAAGGGTGATAGTTAAAGAAAGATTTGCTTACCCATCCCAAAGAACAGGGCTTGTTGAATACTCCAAAATGAGAGATATCCAGATAGAGACCCTTCCTTTGTGACAGCCAGCCCTTAAATGAAACCTAGAGAGGGGTGGAACCTGGTGAAATGCTTTCACCTGTGCTTCCAGGGCTGGTTCTGTCCCTTCACTAGCTGCTCAATGATTGGCTCAGACTGTGACTTAGTAATTCCCATACAAAGGGACAGAATCAGGACAGATGATTTAAACTGGCCAAGGGGATATCCCATGCTATATGACATCAAGCAGAAAGAGAGTTTTGAAGGGGGTGGGAGTTCATCTCACTCTCTTCCACTGCTTGAGACAGGAGCAGGGCATTGACTGGGGAGTAGTGAGCAATTCATAAAATCATAGAATGGTTTGGGTTGTAAGGGACCCTTAAGATCATCTAGTTCCAACTCCTCTGACGTATGCAGGAACAGTTCCCTCTAGACCAGGTTGCTCAAAGCCCCATCCAGCCTGGCCTTGAGTGCTTCCAGGGAGGGGGCAACCAGTATCTCTCTGGGCATCCTGTTACAGTGCATCACTGCCCCCACAGTAAAGAATTTCCTTCCTATACTTAGTGTAAATCTATTCTCTTCCAGTTTAAATCCATTTCTCTTCATTCATTGCTACATGACCTTATAAAAAGTCTCTTCCCAGCTTTCCTGTAGGCCCCCTCCAGGTACTGGAAAGCTGCTGTAAGGTCCCCCTGAAGCCTTCTCTTCTCCAGGCTGAAGAGCTCCAACTCTCAGCCTTGCACCCTCCTTGTAGGGGAGGTGCTCCAACCCTCTCATCATCCTCATGGCTCTTCTCTGGACCTGCTCCAAAAGCTCCACGTCTCTCTTGTGTTGGGGGCTTGAGAACTGGACTCTAGCTGGGGTCTCACAAGAGCAGACTTGAAAGGCAGAATCACCTTCCTCAACCATTACGCTTTTCTTGATGCAACCCAAGATACAGTTGGCTTTCTGACTGCAAAATC